GCAAAAAGCCTCATCTGTCTCCTGCGGAACAGCTGGTAGTTTCGAACTGCTGACCTTAAGGTTCGCAACCCAATTTGTAACCACTACGCTACCATAGAGTTATGAAAATATAAAGAAACTATAAAATTCAGTAAAGACTCACAGGGAAAGTTATTTAGAGATGCTAGATTAGAATTAAGGAGCTCTGGTAGAGTAGTGGTTATGAATCGGGCTGCAAACCACAAGGTCAGCAGTTCGAAACTACCAGCTGTTTCGTGGGAGAAAGATGAGGCTTTCTGCTCTCATAAAGATTTACAGCCTTGGAAACCCTCTACAGGGTCACTATGAGTCAGAATCGACTCCATGGTACATAACGACAACGAGATTGAAATTAGAGTGCCAGGGACATAATAAGGGATTTTGTCTGGGCTATAAGAAGGCAGTGATTCTTAGGCATATTTGTGAAAAGGTAGACTTCTAGGCAGCTTGTTGTCAAGTGCCATCAAGTAGATTCCAACTCATAGTGACCCTGTATAGGGTTTTCAGAGGATCGGCTTGTGAGTTTGAACTGCCAACCTAGTGGTTCAGACTGATGTTGCTGTTGAATGTTTATCCTACAGTGCCACACCAGGACCCCTTTGGTAAAGTACAAATCAGTGGAGTAGTGTTGTGGATTGAATTGTGTCCCCAGATTTATGTGTCAACTTGGGTAGGTGATGGCTCCTAGTATTGTGTGGTTGTCCTCTATTTTGTGATCTGATGTAATTATCTTCCATTGTGTGGTATGTGTTGTAAATCCTAACCAATATGTTAATGAGGCGGGAGAAGGGAAAGAGATCTTGACTCAAGTCCAGTCCTTTCTCTAGTCACACCTTTTAGAGAGAAAAGGGGCGTAGAGCGAACAAAGAGGAGAGACCTGATTCCCACCAAGAAAGAAGAGCTGGGAGCAGAGGGTATTACAGAGCTTCTTAGACTCAGGGGACGATTGATGCCAAGACACATGCAAATGTCCAGAGTGTGCTGGGCCCACAGATATTGAAAGGAGACAGGTACCTCCCTCTAGAGCCAACAGAGAGAGAATGCCTTCCCTTAGAGCTGGCACCCTGAATTTGAACTCTTAGCTTCCTAAATTGTGAGAGAAGAAATTTCTGTTTATTAAAACTGCCTACTTGAGGTATTTGTGTTATAGCTATGCTAAGTCACTAAGATTTTGGTATTTGAAGTGTGGGGTGTGAGGTGCTGTTTTAACAGATATCTAAAATGTGGTAGCATTTTTGGAATTGGGTAATGAATAGAGGCTGGAAGAATTTTAGGGTGCTTAGTAGTAATAGTAATAAAAGAGCTCTGGTAGCATAGTGGTTATGAATGGGGCTGCTAATCTCAGGGTCAACAGTTTGAAACCAGCAGAAGTTCCGCGGGAGAAAGATGAGGCTTTCTGCTCCTGTAAAGATTTACAGTCTCAGAAACCCTATGCAGGGTCACTATGGGTTGGAACCGACTCGCTGGCACTCAACAACGACAGTAGTAATAGTAATAGCAAGGTCAGTGGTTCAAACTCACCAGCTGCTCCTCAGAAACTGTATACAGGATTGCTGTGAGTTGGAAACAACTCGATGACACTTAACAATAGCAACAACGAATAGTAATAGCCTAGATTGCCTTGAAATGACAATTGGTAGAATTATGGACAGAAGACAATTCTAGTGATGGCTCAGAAGGCAGTGAGGAGAGCTCAAGAATAAGTCTCTGTTATCTTAGAGATTGCATATGATGCTAGCAGTACAATGTTAGTAGAAATGTGGACATTAAATGTGCTTCTGGGGAGACTTTAAAACGTGAATCGATGATTGAGGAGAGGTAATGCTTAAATGCATTGGCAAAGAACTGGTGAGAATTAATTTAAAATGTTTGGTGGAACGTAGAACTTGTAAATCATGAACCTGAATTCTTGGCTGAGGAGATTTCTAATGAATATTTTAAAGGGACTACATCGTTTCTCCACTCTAAATGAGAGAGGAAAGAGATGAATTTAAAAATGATCTGTGTAAAATTAAAACAAAAGATTTGGAAATTTTGATGTACAAATTAAGGACACATGCCTTACTATTTTTACCAAAAGATGCGTGGCTACACAAAGTTTTGTTAAAGAAATTAAGCCTGTGACTGATGGATGTAACTGACTATGTCAATAGAATACCCATCTGCTTACAATGAAGGAGACAGAGAAAGAATAGAAGAAGACAGTGCTGTATGCCTCTCGGAATTCTTCAGGCAGGAAAGAGGCCAAAGGAATGATCACTATTGTCCTCTTAAGAAAAGAAAAAAAAAGTATCCCTAAAGCAGCTCAGAGATTAGCAGAACAGTTAGAAGGAGCATGGGAAGCAGAGCTGCTTTTGTCTCAAAGGGTGGGGTAATAGTGTCTGGGTTTCAAGGACCCAGATCTTTTGCTACCTTGGTTCTGGAGTATGGGGCAACTGTTACAATGGTGGGGTATGCCAGAGTGGTGGGGTCACTACCCAAAGTGAACAGGCAGAAGAATGGTACTTACCAGGGCCACCAATGAGAAGCACTAGTAGAATGGGACCATCAAACCCAGTAGGGCAGAGTTGTCATCGCAGTAGGCCTGTAAGGTGGAGATCAAGCCTAGAGTCACGGAGCCTCCATTCAGAATCCAGGGGGACATGGCCAGCATCCACAATCACTGATGCAGGAAAAATCAGTGCCTTTTTGAACAACTCCCCTTTTGGGACTGAATGCTAACTGGAGCTGGAAAGTAGAGAGCCTGATATGTTCACCTCACGTGATCTATCTGGTTTCACTCAATGAATAGAAGTAGGTGAGGTTCAGCAAGAAGAGATAGGCTGTGTTTGACCAGAGAACAAAGCCATTGCCCAGATGGTCTCAGAGAATGGAGGATTTAATTTGTTCTGGGATTTGGACTTTTGAAGTGCCTGTTAATCCCTTCTTTTCCTCCATTTATAATGGAAATGTCTACCTTGTGCCTATTCCACCACTGAACATTGGAAACAGGTATTTTGGGGTCTAGATTCCACAGGTCCACAGATGAAGAGGAATTTTGCCCCATGATGGAATATACCTAAAGTCACCCATATTTGAAAGAGATGATTTAGAAGATGGGATTTTGGACTCAGAGTCAATTTAAGACATTTGGGATGATGTAGTGAGGTAAATGTGTTTTATACATGGCAAGGAAATGAATTTTGAGGGCTCAAAGGGTGGACTGTCTTGGATTGAATTGTGTCCTCCAAAATATATGTCTAAATCGCTAGGTCATGACTACCAGTATTGTGTGGTTGTCTTCCATTTTGTGACCTGCTGTAATTATCCTCCATTTAGTGATATGTGTTGTAACTCCTAACCTGTGTGTTAATAAGCTAGAATACAGTGGGATGTATCCTGAGCTTGTGACTGAAGTCTTACCCTTACTCAAGTACCCAAGTCACCACTCTTACTCAAGTCTCACACCCTTGCTCACGTCACATCTTTTATCTTACAAGAAAGAGAATTGAGCAGAGAGGGAGGGACCTGACTACCCTCAAGAAAGAAGAGCAAGTTGTGGAGCACATCCTTTGGACTTGGGGTCCCTGCACTGAGAACCTCCTTTTCCCAGGAGAAGATTGACACCAAGACACGTTGGAAATTTCCAAGGAATGCCAGGCCCACAGATTTGAAGGGAAATAAGGACCTCCTCCCAGAGCTGACAAGGAGCTCTGGTAGCGTAGTGGTTACGAATCGGACTGTGAACCACAAGGTCAGCAGTTCGAAACTACAGCCACTCCGCAGGAGAAAGATGAGGCTTTCTGCTCCCGTAAAGATTTACAGCCTTGGAAACCCTGTACAGAGTTGCTATGTGTCGGAACTGACTCTACGGCACTTAACGACAACAACAACCCAGAACTGACAGAGAAGGATTTTCCCTATAGGTGGCACTCTAATTTGGATTTCCTTCCTAAACTGTGAGAGAATAAATTTCTTGTATTTTTGTTATAGCAGTTAGATAAGTAAGACAATTAGGAGTTAGCATTATTTGGGTTATAGTTTTTGAGACCTTCATAGCTGTATGATCTTGGTTAAGTCTGAACATTCTAAGCCCGGATTTCTCATTTGTCAAGCCACAGGGTTAGATTAGATAATCAATGTTCTCTCTAGCTCTAAACATTGTTGTTGTGTTTTGTTTTTCCTACATACAATGTTGTTGTTAAGTGCCTTCTCATTTGTCAAGCCACAGGGTTAGATTAGATAATCAATGTTCTCTCTAGCTTTAAACATTGTTGTTGTTTTTTTGTTTTTCCTACATACAATGTTGTTAAGTGCCATTGAATCAGTTCCAACTCATAGTGACCCTGCATAGGGTTTCTGAGGCTTTTAAAACTGTACAGGGCGTGGGGAGAAAAATTCTTTACAGGAACAGAAAGCCTCACCTTTTTTCCAAGTGCATTTGGTGGTCTCAAACAGCGGACCTTGTGGTTTGTAATATTAGGAGTGAGAAAACGGGAGAGGGTTCATGTATTTTGTGGAAACCTGATAGTATAGTTCATGTGGTGATAAGGCCTTATTTATTGCTACTGTGCATGTCCCCAATTTATGATGTAGTTGAGTTACAGCAAATTGCAGTTTGTTTTTGTATTTGTATATCTTACTGTTAGTAATACATACTACATAAAAATTTGCAGCATGTAATTTGCTGATGTTACCATTTTCAGATGTTCACTGTTACAATATGTAAACACATTGATAATCAAAGGAAATAGTAATGAAAACTATTTAAAAACTAGGTGTTTGACTTACATCAGAACTGACTTAATGATGGAGTTGTTGGACTGGAACTCCATTGTAAGAGACTATCTGCATAACTGCATTTTATAGTCATTCTGAAATTGTAAGGCATTTTTTCTTAGAATATGCTCATGTCTGTGGAGTAAGATATCTAGATAACAGATAGCCTTAATGTAAAATATAGAGGTCTTTGTTAATATATTTTTATTTCCTTTCTTTTTTAGTGTCCTGCTATAGACTACACTAGGCATACACTTGATGGTGCTGCCTGCCTTCTGAATAGCAATAAATATTTTCCCAGCAGGTAAACAGAACTTAAGTGTCGTGTTAAACTTTTAAGATTCAGTTTTAAAAGATTGATGTTTCAAAACTAAAATTAGGTTGCTGAGTAATATTCTTAAATTTATTATTATAAAATGTGTTATATTCTTAAATTTATTTTCCTATTTATCTTCTTCAAAATAATTCAAGGTTTGAAATTAGAGTTGTGGTTAAATTGAGGACGGCAGGGATTGGCTTCCAAGGTCACAGAGATCAGTTTCATTAAGACTGGTTGGTCCCTGCTGCTTTACCTCATTCTCTGTGACTCTTTCTCTTATGAGTTAAGAGTTGCTGAGTGCATTTCTGTGTAGTTAGCCTCCCTTAAACAGCATGCGTCAAGTGTAAACTCCCCTAAATTGGACTGCCTGTTTTTTAAGGAATCCTTATCCTTGCCTGTAGGTTTTATTATTTTTTGTAGACTTTTATTATGAATTGAGTGAAGGTTTACAGAGTAGATCATCTGTTTTATATTCAACAAATCACATACTTTGCTTCTTTACAATGTTTGCAGCCCCCTCCATGTACCATCAGTTAGTATACTTACCTCTCTATTCACTTTAACTCTAGCATTCCTCCCTGTGTCTCCTGCTAGCTTCATCTTTGCTCTGCCAGCTTCCCTCTTGTATGCTGCCTGCCCTGACACTCATGTTAACATGTGTCTACCCTCGAGCTTGTGAATAATTTTCCTTCCACCTAACCTTCCCCCCATAACCATCATAGATTGTTGCTTTTATCAAGAAAACCTTTTCTTAACTTTTTATGACATTTGTTGTTGTTAAGTGCCGTTGAGTTGGTTCTAACTCATAGTGACCCTGCATAGGGTTTCCAAGAAGCTGCTGGTGGGTTTAAACTTCCAACCTTGTGGTTAGCAGTCCACTGCTGACCCAACAGCATCACACCAGGTCTCATACAATATGTGTTTGTAACTGACTTAATTTCACTCAGTTTCATGTCTTCCAGGTTATCTATGTTGTGAGGTGTTTTGCAGTACATCATTATTCTTCAACATTGTATAGTATTCCATTGTGTCTATGTACCAAAGTTTGTTTAACCATTCTTCTGCTGATGATTGACTATAGATTTTTAAGATCTAGGAAAAACCTGTAGCCTACTGTACTATGGTATTGATGAAGTTTGGAAGAATAGTCCAGGACCTTTGTTTATTTTGTCTAGGGATTTGTGACCAGTTGGATTGGATTTGGAGACTTTTTTCCCAAAGAGCTCTTATGCAATACAGTTTTAAAAATAATTGATTCACCTTAGTAATCTATGTACATTAAAAAAACAAAAACAGCTAGAAATATGCAGTTACAGAGTAACCTAGTTCTATAGAATAAAATCTGAACTCAGTAGTTCTAGTCATCCATTATAGTGTTGAGTAGAGTCGTGGTGTTATGCTGTAGGACAAGCACTAGACTGTTAACCACAAGATTTGTGGTTCAAACCCTTCCTTGGAAAGCCTGTACAGGGTTGCTATGAGTTGGACTATCATGCCACTTAACAAGAGTCACCACTAGTAGATGTTAATGTCTTAAGTGTATCTTTTCTTAAGTTTAGAATGAACAGATTCATTTTGATTTAATAACACTGTATTAAACTTTAAGAAATTTCACAACTGTAATAGCAGATGGAACTTCAGCACTGTGGTTAGGTAGAAAGAGCACAGCCCTGTCTCTGTGACCCTGACCTACTCACTCACTTACCTTAGGTTTTTTTCCACATTTGTGAATTGAGAAGACTGGACTATATTTTGTTCATAAGATTTTTGTCCAACTCTATGAATATATCATTTCTTTTCCATCTTTAGGGTTAGCATAAAGGAATCGTCTGTAGCAAAACTAGGATCAGTATGCCGTAGGATTTATAGAATATTTTCTCATGCTTATTTTCATCACCGGCAGATATTTGATGAATATGAAGTAAGTGTATTTCACTAATTATCCTGATGCATTCTTACCATAATAATAAAATAATATATTTTGACATTCTTGGTTATTTAAGCTTTGCATAATGAGTTAAAGTGACACATTTTTTCTTTCTTTTTACAGAATGAAACATTTTTGTGTCATAGGTTTACTAAATTTGTGATGAAATATAATTTGATGTCCAAGGATAACTTGATTGTACCAATTTTAGAAGAAGAAGTACAGAATTCAGTTTCTGGAGAAAGTGAAGCATGAAAGAAATCAGAAAAAAAGTACTGGACACATAATTAGCATTAATTATGTACTGTATATATATCATTTTAGACACATCAATCATGTACCCATATTATAGCTTCTTTGTTTGGTATAGGTTTTTGTATGCTGTGTTGCCTTTTAAAGTGGGAAATACTTTTTAAGTTATTCATGAGCTGTATATTCACTGGTGTGGCACTCATGGTTTTTAAATAAGATTAGTGTTATCTGTTTATAATGCCTGTTAATAAAAGAATTTACAGTTTGGTAAAATTGCTGCTAAACAATCATTGGATCACAATCCTCATCAAATAAACCCATCTATAAAAAGATGAGTGGGCTTGAAGTTTCACACAAGCCATTTACTAAAGAAATAGCAACTTTTTCCTTTGGTTTTATCCCTGAGTTTAGATATTCTAGAAAATCCTGTAGTATATGCATAGTTTGGTTTTAATGTTAATTTTTCAGAAATGTATTTAAAAATTCTGTTTATATTTTTGATATGCATATATGATTATATGTATGTATATCTAAATATAAAAGCGCAAATGAAATGTTAGTTAAATAATCTTATGCTGTGTAAAGCATATTCTTGGCCAGCATAATTGGAAAGGGTTTACCTTTCTTCAGAGATGGACTATTATATATAAGATGATGATGATAAGGCACATAAATGATGTTCCTTCTGGAAACCCACCTGACCCACGCCTTCTACTCTGTTTCCTTAACCCGTTTTCTGAACTACATTAGCTTAGAAGCTTTTCACCAAACTGTTATTTAGTGGTGACTTATCCCTATTTTTATTTGTATTAATTGCTTACAGATAATACCTCATATTAGCAATTACATTACACTACAGGAAAAATGTATTGGCATAGGCTCTTACCTTTGTTTTGTAAATTTGTTCTAACTACTTGGGAAAGTGTCTTTAAAATAGTTTAACTCTTCCTGTAACTAGTATTAGTCTTTTCATTTAACCATTTGGGCAGCATTTAGATCGAATTGAAAAATATTGTAATATTTATTTTGCACCCCCTTCCTCACAGTTTGTGTTTGAATTATATGCACATTTTTGTCTCATTAGTAATTTGCAATAATTTATAGGTTCCAAGGGTGTTAATGGTCACATGTGCTTTGGACTTTGGGATTTGGTAACAATCTAATTATTGAATGCAATTTTTAAGAAAACACAGGTTTTATTGCGGCATTAATTGTAATGAGATACTGACGGTGAAAAAATTGTACATGCAGTAAAGAGAATAGTGAAATCCATCTCTTGAACAGAATTAACAAACATGGGGAACTTTTTCATTTTAAAGAGTTATGTTGAAATGAAGGTGAAATGTATTCATCTTGATTTTTTTTTTTTTTTTTTTTCAAATTTGAGGCAATAATTTATACAATATTATGAAACAAGTGTGGATAGCAGAAATGTGGGAAATAGCATGCCGAGATTGTATATATCGTTGATGCCTTTCCAAGCTTGCCAGCCTGTTTGGCTTTGAACAGTGCTATCCCAACATGCAGTTATTACTGAGCCCTAGTCCACAACTATTTTTAGGAAGTTTTATGTTCACAGTGAAAGAATGTTGATTTTTAAATTATGCATTTATATTAATGTCACTATAAACCAATGGGATAGTAATTCTTAAATGAACTTGTTAAATATCGAGAGACTAAACTACTAAGTTAATAAATTATATATAGTAATATAGCTGCTTGCTCTAGAAAGTGTCTCACAATAAATTTCTATTGTTTAACTATTTTCTTGATAAAGATTTGAATTAAGGCAGTAACTAGGATTGGTGATCTAGCTTAGTATTTTGAAAAACATTTTGAATAATATGGCTTGGTGTTAACGGGGAAATAAAATATGATTTTTTTTTCTTACTCATTCCATCTTCCCTGTACTGTGTGTCTGGAGTTGATCATAAAAAACAAAACAAAAACAGAATCCTAAAAGAAAACATCACTTTGTAGTCCTGCTTTTGTATTCATATTGACATTTCATTTGTGTCCATTGCACTGTGAGGTTGATTTATTATACTAGGTAAAACTTAAATGAAACAGTCCTATTTTTCATTAATGCTGTTAACAGATTTTTGAAACTGTGTCTGTATATACAAGAGGTATTAAAAAAATTAGTGAACCTGGCCAACTATTGATTTATAAAGTAGATCTTCTAAAAGAGAAATTAGCTATCACTTTTTGCTGAAATCCTATATAAATCTGAAAGTTACAATTATTTTTTCGATAAAAGTATTTTGACCACAGTTTAACACTTTTTCTTTTACATTAGGTAGAATGAGTAACTTTTTTGACTTACGTTTCCATAAGTAGCTGTAGTTCATTTTTGTGTATAAATTTTCTTTTCTCTGACTTAAATGTTAGTTTGCATTTCTGCATCAGATTCTCAGTTAAATTCTTTATTGATTTAAGTTTCTAATATAATAAAAATTTTAAAATCATGGTTACATTGTAGTAAGGTCTGTGTTATGGTTAAAAATACTTTCACTAACTGGTTAATAGAAAAACTAATTATTTTTTCCCTTGGATACTTTGCCCTGCTTTCTATACGAAGATCCCCCACAAGGGTTTCTTATAATTTAATCAAGGCAGCAAAATTCTAGAGTTTAGGTAGTTTATTTTGTGAAGAACATGTGCTAAATATTTCTTAGTGTATTTCTGCCATGCTATGATAATTTTTTGTTGACCATTGTATTGTGCTTTAGGTGAAAGTTTACATAGCAATTGAGTTCCTCATTTGATGATTCATGTACCGGTTGTTTCATGATGAACCCCACAATTTGTTAGCACTCTTCCCTTCCTGGTTTCCCCATTTCTGTTAAGTTTTCCTCTTCCTTCTTGTCTTTTCATGTTTGCTTTTGTGCAAATGCTGGCCCCTTTATCTCTTATACCTGATTGTCCTAAGAAGCACATTTCCTCACTGTCTGGATTTTGGACCTATTATGTGTCTGAAAGGTGATCCCTGGGAGTGTTTTCAGTCCTAAATTAGAAGGGTATCTTATGGCAGTTGTCCTGGGAGTTCTTCCAGTCTCTTATCAGACTGTAAGTCTGATCTATTCTGCGGATTTGAATTATGTTCTACATTTTTTTCCCCCTACTCTGAGACCTTCTGTTCTGTTCCTGGTTAGATGGTTAGTAGTGGCAACCAGATACCATCTAAGTTCTGGTCTGTGGCTAGTGGAGGATATGGTTCTTGTGGCTCATTAGTCCTTTGGATGAACTGCTTCCTTATGTTTGGTTTTCTTCACCTTCCTTTGTTCCAAACAAGAAGACACCAATAATGTAGCTTTGATTACAGCTTGAAAGCTTTTAAGACCCTAAACACTACTCACCTCACTAGGATGTAGAACAATATCTTTATGACTTAGATGGTCCCCCAAGACTATGATCTTCAAGTCCAGTATATGATATGTATATGTATCATATATCATATGTATAAACAGTAGATGATAATGTTTTTAAAAGTGATTTCAGTTGATTTTCATTTCTTGAGTTCAGCTAATGCATAAGTAAGACAGTACAGATGTATTTGGTGCAACATGTTTAGCAGTTTGAGATGATCAATACATGAAAACCCATTTCCTAAAAAAATCGTATGCATGATTAAAATCCATCACTGTATAGTCAATTTTGACTTATAACAACCCTAGAGGACAGAGTAAGGAGCTTTGGTAGCATACTGGTTACAAGTCTGTGAACCTCAAGGTCAGCAGTTTAAAACTAGCAGTGGTTCCACAGTAGAAAGATAAAGCTTTCTGCTCTCGTAAAGACTGACAGCCTCAAACCCTGTGAAGGGTTACTATGAGTCAGAACCGACTCCATGGCACACCACCCCCATAGGATAGAGTAGAATTGCCCCCTAGGGTTTCGAACACTTGTGCATTCAAACTGTAGACCTATTTATCAGTTAGCAGCTGAGTACTTATTCATTGTGTCACCAGGGCTCCTTGCCTCCTGACTATTGTTAAGTGCTGTGGAGTCAATTCCAACTCATAGCTACCCTGAATAGGGTTTCTGAGGAGCAGCTGTTGGATCTGAACCACCCATCTTGTGGATTAAACCAACCTTGTGCTCCAGTACTGTATCCTGTAGCACCACACCAGGACTCCATTCATGCATGACTAGTGTAGATAAAACTACCAAGTTTTTAACCAAGTGATTTCACTAAAGAGTAATATTTACCCATCTAACACTTGAGTATCACTCTTAAAATTTGGGGCTGTGTAGGTAAGTTATGTGGGGCTGAGCATCTAATTAAAGTATTCTGTTTGTGTGATTTTTTGCTATTTATATTTTTTTGTAGTATACAAGGCTTCATATCAAGTTTAAGAGCCTGATTAGAGAGAAGAGTAAAATTTCATTAATAAACTAAATTACTAAAATGATAGTATCAGTTATGTTTCTGGAATTAACTTTTGGATTAATTGTAATTCAACACTTAATAAGATCTTGATTCAGTTAGTAAAGGTAGTTTATAATTCCAGGAGTCCTGGTGTGGTGCCACAGGATAAGCACTTGACCTTAAGGTCAGTTTGAACTGCAAGGTTCAAACTCACCAGCTGCTCCTCAGAAACCCTACATAGGGTAGCTGTGAGTCAGAACAGACTCATAGTGCTTAACAACAATAACAAAATCAAGCAGGAATAATAGGATTCAGTCCATATACATCAGTGTCCCTTAGAGGTACATTGAAGGGAGTAACTAAGGAACAAGAAGACCCCAGAGATGAGGAAATCGTGGGTAAACTCATTGTTGCACTAAGGAAGGAAATACCCTCCTCCCCCAATTCCCCAGTTCAACAGGAACCCTTTGATTTTTGTGAGTAAATCCCTGCTTAACTTGGAAAAAAGAGTCATCTTGTTTTTAAAACTATGGTTGCATATAGAGAAAACTACTTGCCTTGATTTGAGTAATACCATGCCTACTTTTGAATATGGTGCTTTGAGTTTTAAATAACTTTTGACAAAAAAAATGCAGGTTTTAACCGTCTCCCCTGCATTCTGACTATTGAGGTCCCATGTTAGTGATTATATTAACTTTCTGCATCTGCTGTAGTAAATTACCATAGAATTGTCTTAAAACAACACACATTTATTCTCTTACATTTCTGGAGGCCAGAAATCCAAAATCAGTTTTATTAAAATCCAAGTATCTGCAGGGTTAGTTCCTTCTGGAGGCTCCTGTAAAGAATCATCCCTTGTCTTTTCCAGTTATTGGCATTCCTGGTTTGTGGCCACATAAGTGCAATCTTAGCTTCCGTTATCACATTGCCTTCTCTTCTGTAGTTTCCCCTCAACCTTTCTTACAAGAACGCTTGTGATTACATCATTGGACACCCCTGGATAAACCAGGATAATCTCCCCCACCTGAAGATCCCCAAACTTAAGTGCTACAT